AAACAAGCATTTTTTGACATACATAAAAGAGGCATGTTAACACGTGTATATTTGTTTTTATTGCATTCCTTTTTTTTATATACTAAAGCAGGAAACGTATTTAGACTATTCTCAGTTATTCTTTTTAGATGAAAATTATAGTTACTTGGTTGTTAATTATGAATAACCCTGTATTTCTCTAAATATAAAAAACAATTTGTTTTTGTAAAAGGGCAGCATTCAATATTTCTCTTCATTTTTAGATATATCCTGTTATCTAACCAGTCTCATTTGACTTCAAATTCTTTGCAACTGCAATATTATCAAAGCCCATGGACTTTGAGATGTAAAATGAGAAATGGATGGTGAAATGAAGATTTTAATGGAGATAAAATACTAGGTCATTGGTAAATAAAGTACAATTTGATAATTCGTACTAGTGGGAATTACTCCTACTAGTATGGTATGACAAATTCTTGTTATTTATAAGATTTTAAATATATATGAATGAAAAGTAGATAAATACTTTCAATTTTTTTTATAATTGTGTAGAGTACTAATTAGCTCTGGGGTGAATATGAGATTTCTGGTATTTGTGCAGTATTTTCATTGGAAAGCATTTCCTGAGGAAGTGCCTTTTCAGTGTTAGGCGCTAATATCAAGTTACCTAAAACGGTTTTGAGAATGTGCTACAATGAAGAAGGAAGATTTTATTTTTACAGTGTCAACATAGTTGCACAATATGCATTGTATAAGACTAAGGGAGATATTGGGAAAATTAAGCACCATTTAGCTGAACATTACAGTTGTAATGGTCCTAAAAGACAAACAAGAATAATTTTATTCCACAAAAGAAATTTCTCAGACAAGCTAATCAAGTATGTAACACTGAGATTATATTGCAGAATAATGTGATGATGATATGGAATATATACTATATAAATGCTCTCTTTTCCCTGCTTAACCTCCTTTTTTTAAAAGTTGTTTTTCCCTTTGATGTCTCCATTATGTTTTATTGTGAAACATGTGTTACTTTTTGCAAATAAATGATATATGGATAACCATTCTTCACTGAAAATAGCAGTTATGTTAGATACATTATTTTTGCAATTGATTTTTTTTTCTTTCTTTTTTTAAGATCATTGTATAAAATAGATTTTCCACTACTTTCTAGAGTTTATGTTAAATTCTAATTATGTATTTTTTTATGGACCATGCTCTTCTGTAGACAGTAACAATAGGGCACTTGTTGATATTGCCCTGATCATAATTTTCACACCAGTTCCTGCTTCAGCTCAAGAAGAAAAGTCTGAAAAGAAATGGCTGACCAAAAGAGAATAGCATAGCATTTTTAAAGAATCCGGGTGAGAATTCAAATTTTAAAAGCATCTGTCCAAGCAAAAACATAAACAGTGAAGACAAGTAAGCATAATAAATATCATTAACTCTTATATGGCCAGTGGCTTAATATTATAATCTTGTAGGGAAGGGCAGATGGCATAATGTTAGGTCTTGGGTAGTATGTAATTTAGTCAGCCCAGATGGAGTTACTTCACTACTTTGTGCCTGTTGTTTAGGGGGTTTATAAATATTTGACAAAACTAAATATCAACCTTTGCTGTATTATTACTATTATGATACAATGAAAATGAAAAACATATTTTTTATATTGAAATGAAAGAAATTTAATCAACTTTTAGATTGCATATATTAGAAGGCTTCTTGGTTGTTTCCATGTACATGAATAAAGTCCAACTAATTTCAGAAGTGTAGGTGAAGTTGTGTAGATTGTTGAAAGTAGTGGAAACTATCCTTGTGTGACAATTCCATAATTTGCTTGACTCAAGTCTAATTCACTTGAGTGTTTTTTCATTGATTTACCTTTTTTAGAATTCATTCTGTTTTATTCCATTTTTGATTATGTTAGTCTTGAGTTGCCTAATCAAATTAATGTGCAATGAATAATTTGCTCTTAAGTACCATCCCAATAGAAATGGAAGTGTATATGAACACATGTATTTAATGGTATACAAACAAGTAATAGACATAGAAGTGCCCATTCTTATTAAAGATCGTAAAACAATAAACCTTTACTTTAACCTCTTCACCTCTCTCAAGGACAGTGTATCTCAACCAGATTAAGTGATATGGCATCAGTAAGTGCATGGCCTGTTTGTTTACTACAAGTTTTCAATTTTTCTCTGCAGTTTCTGTACACTTGGCAAAAAGATTGTGATTTCTAAAGAGATATGTTGAGTATTTTTATACAACAATTGTTAATGATATTCATAGCTCATTTATTCACATACCCCCATAAACATTGGATTGCTTTGGGGAAAAAAGTTTTGGTGGATCTTATTCTGCGGTTCTTCCAATTTTTGCTTAAATACTTGTGTAGCAATTGATATTCATATTCATGATAAACAAACCCTGGTGAAAAAAAGGTTAACATGCTATAAATTATGTATTTGCATAATTGTTTCCAACATGTAATAGTGTTGAAAATAAATTATTATTTTTAGGACTGCATTTTTAATTTCCACATTTGAACAAATATGTTACTTTATATCATATATTATGTATTGTATATTATCCTCATTTCTGTTTTATTTGATTAGGTCTGCAGTTACATGCCAACACAACATCCATATAAGAGGCTTTAATCATCAGAGTGAAAAGTTTTTGATCAACCATTTGAAGGAAAAAACTGGGAAAGTTTAATTGAAATACTCATGCGTATGATTTAGGCTGTTTTCTTTCTTCTCTTTTCCTTCTTCTTGACTTCTCTCTATTTGCTCACTAAGCCAGTTCTATGTGTAAACTAATGATATAGAAAATAACAGTATGGTACCATTATTCCAGCTTTCAACCAGAAGTTATCTGTTATGTAAAAGGTATATAATTTTGATAAGAAGTATTACAGTCATTGGAAGATGAACATGTGGTTCAGCTGGCAGTACTTGAAAGTTGAATATGAGATTTAGGGTTGATCAGGAACACTGCCTGCCTGCCCTGTGACCAATGACACCAGCTGTTGTCGTTGCAGGTGTCGCCTCTGGAGCAGCTCCTTGAGGAGTCGTCGAGCTCCCCACCACATATCAAGGCCGAGCCGACTGTCAGTGGAGGTCCTAGTGAGGGTGAGCCACGGGTCCCCATTACATCACCTGTGGAAATTAGCCCTCAGTATATTGGCGTTCAACAGTACCCTGCACTGACCAGCTTAGCGGCAGGAAACATGGGTCTTGTAGGGTTCAGCGCAAGACCTGTAATAAATATGACTTCAACAAGTCCAAGCAGCTCAGGAGGAGGGTTTGTTGGTGTGCTCATGTCAGCAACAGCGCCACGGGCACCACGACGTGCCAATAACCCACTCACTTGCCCCATTTGTGGGAGAGTTGTTCTCTTTCGGTCTGAATATGAGAAACACATGCGAACACACACTGGTGAAAAGCCATTTGTATGTCATTTGTGTTCCTACCGTTCTGCACAGCGTTCCAATCTGAATGTACATCTGAAGTCAGTTCACAAATTGTATTCTCCTTCAGTCAATTTAACTGCACAACCTCCAACTTGGGATGCCAATCCAGACAGTGGATTCATTGGCTGAATGGTGCCATGTAATATGTCAAATAATGCTAGAAATATACTGTTAAGGAAAAGTCTGTGGAACCACTGTCTTGAACTGAAATAGATTAAAAAGTATATAAAGAACTTACAAGTAAATTTTAGTTGAGTACAAGACTATTTAGCCATCCTACATAGAATTTACTAGATGCTTTTATCAGAATGAAAAATACTCTAGATATTATCAATGTAAAAGATATTTAAGCAAAGAGAAGTATTATAAACAGTTATATCTTATATATTTTTCTTAATATTTGTTTGTGTGCAACTTGGAACCAATATATACTTACTTAAAGTATGAGAAACACACTATCCTCATACTGTGAAACCAAGTATTTATATATCATTTATGTTCACTTTCCCAGAGCAGTTCTGGCTCTCTTTATTCTTTTAGTAAGCAAAGTAGTCTTTCCAATGAATATATTCACTAGTGCCTCCTTACATAAATGGCTGTCATTTATGAATGGCTATGAGAGGAGGAGTGTTTATGAAATCCAAATTCTAATGAATTTGTGAAATTTGGGTTTTGTATTAGTTTCTAGTTGCCAAAACAAAGGGTTTGATCATTTATCTTATGACAGATGTGTCAATTTTTTTAATACATAAAGAACAGATATAAGCTAGGCAGTGTATTACTGAATGTTATATGTTTGCAAATATTTTCTTGACTTGTGTTGGCAAGTGACAGCAGGTTTTGTAAAACTGCCTCATTAAATGTAGAGTAAATGAATATATCTCATATCTAAACTCCCAACCTTTCCTTTATTTTACCTCTCAGATTTCTTGCTCTTAAATTTTACAGATTACCTTGTGATGCTATTGTACTAGCCCTTCATAAATATGAATGTATTTGATTTGATACTGGATGCCTAAATAAATATGGTCAAAGTGGATAGTGACAGATGTGTCTGCTTCTATAACTGCCAGTTTTATCTAAAGTAGGTGTTTGTTTTAGAGTACATAAGTATGATACAGGAGCAGAATACCAAACTAATGTGAAAGGAGCCACACTTTGGGTGGGGCAGGTTCTGGAAAGGGACCAAAGATATGGAAAACATTGCATGATTTAAAAATTTGAAAGCAAGATTCAACTGTAGCTTTATTGTGACATAATGGTCATCACAGACCATCTCACGAATTAAACACCTTGAAAGCACTTGAGCAACATTGGTAAGTGAGTGGATTATCAGTCACTCACAAGATTATGATATGCAGATTGTTGAATGGCATGAAAGTTGTAGTTAATACTTGATGGAACTGACTTGGAATTTTGTTTTGAAATCTTTTAAAATGAAAACTAAAGTAAGTGAGGGACTGTTCACTTTTTATAGATCATATATGCATGATTAGCTTAGCAAAGCCTGAAAATGTTAATCACTAGCAATATATAATACCAGCATAGCAAAGATTACGCATTTATTATCTCACTTTCCTATTCTAGTCTTGGGTATATTTTTGTTTTCAAGTTATGCCATCTTATTTTCTGTTTTTATTATTTTATATGTATTTCATGAGGGGTGTAGCTGTCTGTAGAAGACTGACTATTTATTTTATAAACTTCAAGATGGGATATAGTACTAGCAATGTATTTATAATAAATTGACGGAGAAAAAATACAATGACATGTGGATGCAAGAAAATAAAGAGAAAAATTAATTAAGCAAATTAAAATCTTTATATGAGCATAGTTTTCAGTGAAATTTAAGCACTCTTTTCTCACACAGATGTTAAAGGGACATAAAAACCATTTACATCATATGATGATGATTGTTTGGAATAAATGCATACTTAGACATTCATGTTGAGGTGAAGAAAATAGATGTGGGCCAATGTGCAGTAACAATTAAAGAATATATTTTGGAAATGTTTTCATTTGTATCATTCCTTTCTGCTCAAATGAGACTGATTGTATGTATGTATGTTTTGTTTTTGTGTGCATCTGGCATGGCAAGTGACAAAATGGTGAAAGAAATGCTACATAGTTACTATACTAGAACCTTTATAAACACAGAGACATGCAAGCTTACTGTTATATTGAGGCATCTGTTGCAGAAGTTGGAAAATTAAATCAGGAATTTACAATCCTTTTTCAGTACTGAATGGTGCGTGAATATCTCATTGAAAGTGATATATATTTTGATTAACTTGAGCCTTTCCAGCTAGAGAACAGTTTGTGTATCAGCATATTTCAAAATGTATAATTTCTTCAAAAAACTATATGATTTTGCTCTTAACACTTATGCAAAGTTCCATGATTACCTCTGATAAATATTATTCTTGATTGAAAAGTCTGCATATGATTTAAAATATATAGCAATGATGATATCCTGAAATTAAGAGAAAGGAGAAAATAAGCTGTTTGGTATTAACAAGATATGTAGAAAGATAGAATGCTAACATTTTACAAAACATATATTTTATTCCTTAATGAACTTCAAAAGCTAAAATTGAGCTTCCCTGTAAGCATGGTATTCATGATTACATGATGGACTAATTAAAAGTCTTTGATAAAGATGGTAAATGATGGGCCCAGCACTACCTAAGATGGTGTTGTCTCTTTGCAGCGGCTGGCCTCTGTCTTTGCTGCTGGAGGTGCAGGTCTGGGCGGAATAGGGCCCGTAGGAGGGATGAGCGAGGCAGAACGTTTGGCGTGGGCTCGCAGTCTGGGAAGCGGGCAGACATGGATCTGCCCAGTGTGTCACAAACAGTTTGGCATGCGTTACTACTATGAGCGCCACCTAAAATGTCACCAGGCACAGAAGGACCACCAATGCCCCTACTGTCCGTTCCGTGCCTCTTATAAATGGAACTTGAAGTCGCATGTTCGTAACAAGCACCGTGATAAGCCACCTCCACCCTAATGGAAGCAGGAGTGTCTTGAAGACCTACCAAATTTTGCATTCAAGGCCATGACGGGATCCCACACACTGTTAGAGATGTTGATAGTTATCTTTAACCCTTTGACTGCTGCAGTTAAAAATTTGTAATGAAATTGCCATTTTACAAGCATTATCTACAGATTGCTTGATTAAGCTCTGTGTGGGCAGTTAGCCGTTCAGATTGTCTTTTCCTTATGTACACATTAGGACAGGATGCTGTCTCACTGAGAACCATATCTCTGATGGCTTTCTTTTTTATATAAGTGTAACTAGTATACAAATATACTGTGAGCAAAGATTAAAGAAGAAAATACAGGTTTTACATGTTTTGATATTTTATTATTTTTTCTTAATCCATAATATATGATATTTGCTACATTCTCTTACAACAGGTCAGCTCTTATATTTTATTTTCATATGAGTAAAAGTTCAAACAAATTGCTTAATGGCAATTTATTTGCACAGGTGGTGAAAGGGGAATATTATTTACTTGTAGAAGAGTTAGGCCAAAGAGGTAGGATAACTTGCACTTTTTTTTAGATAACAGAAGTTAAATTATGACCTAGTTTTCTCACACAAGTTCACAAGTGTGTCTGTTGTCATAGCATATTAGAGTGTGTATGTCCATATGCATTAGGAAAACAAGATATTTGAAGAAGTTATGATTGGGTATTTTTTTGTTTTCTTAAAAGTTTATTTTTGTTCATAGAGTTAGTGAATGGAAATTGAATAATCCTTGGTGAGGAAAGCTGGGAAAGAAAATGGAAACACTAATTCTGATTTTTTCATTGAAAAAAAAAAAGAAGAAAAACACAAGCAGCCAAAGGGTTATTATACATTAGTCATAGAAATGGAAATTAGGGTGGTGGGGAGCTATCATGGTAATGGTGATGGTTTTGACGTGAGTGGTGACAGGCTACAAGGGCTGGTTTCTCTCATTACAGGGCTTGCTGCCCCTTCACCTGCGTGAGTACCGTGTGGGCATCCCTGACTCTCAGTACCGCTGCTGCTGGTGTGG